AGAGAGAGAGAGAGAGAGAGAGAGAAAGAGTGCAATGGAGACAGATAGAGAGACAGAGAAAAGCAGAGAAACAAAAAGAAGAACAGATAATAATAACAACAACAACAACAACAACAATAATAATAATAATATTATTAACAAGAATAATAATAATAATAATAATAATAATAATAATAATAATAAGAATAATATAACGCACCGACAGTCTCATGCATAGCCTCTGTCCAGAACCTAGGAGAGTGTACAGCAGCGCCTCTTGCTGCGAGTGCTCTTAATAAACCATCTCTCTCTGCATCTACAACAAAAGAATTGAAGGCCTCTGCGATGTTATCTTGCGTAGGCTTTCGCCCCCGTTCAGTCTTCTTATATCCTTTAATAAAATAAGAATCATTTGCTACTTTTAACACGGCCATAAACGCAAGAACATGACATGCTTTAGGTGGTCGTACACCGTAAGCACTTCCTTCTGTTGTTGTCGAACCCTCATAATTTATTAAATCTTCTACTACATCTGAAAACAACCACTGCGATCGAACCCCTGCATATGTATCAAAGACGTCGCCTTCGGGGCCAAAGTGATCCCTAAACAAAACACAAAAAAAACATATATAAATATATATATATATATATTTATATTTATTTATATATAGATATATATAGATATATATAGATATATATAGATATGTTTGTGTAGATATGCATGTGTTGTTATTGTACATCTCAACAAACAAAACACAAAAAAAATATATATAAATATAAATATACATATATTTATATATTTATAAATAGATATATAGATATATATATTATATATATATGTATATGTATACTTTGTAATTATAAACCCCAGCAAACAAAACACAAAAACAACACAATAAATAGAGGAGGGTTTTATTTATAAACAAATATAATATTTAATATAAACAAAGAACAGCAGCAACAAACTCTAAACCCAAACAAACAACAAAAAAATAACAGCCGCCAGCACAAACAAAACACAAAAAAATATTAAAGAAGATATCAATCAAAATAAACAACAGCAAAACGCAACAAACTGTAGACCCATAAAACCCTAAACCCTAAACCCTAAACCCTAAACCCTAATGAGTGAAAAGACCAGTAAGGGTTTTGAATGCTGGATACAGATTTACAAACTAGGGTTTAGGGTATGTATATTAGGGTTTAGGACTTAGGGTTTACAAATTAGGGTTTAGGGTTTATAAATTAGGGTTTAGGGTTTAGGTTCCCTTACTTGAACGATCTCAGCCAGCCCTTCTCCACGTCTTCCAGAGGCTTTGAGCTGTTGGCCCAGGCTTTAAGTCTTCTCTGAGCCCACAAACCCTAAACCCTAAACCCTAAACCCTAAACCCTAAACCCTAAACCCTAAACCCTAAACCCTCAAACCCTAAACCCTAAACCCTAAACCCTAAACCCTAAACCCTAAACCCTAAACCCTAAACCCTAGCCCTGATGCTTCTGTCATGAGCTGTGGCTCTGCTAGGTATCTGAGTCATTTGCAATTCCATTTATAATTAGGGTTTGTATAATATTAGGGTTTAGAGATTCGAATTAGGGTTTAGGGTTTACTAGGGTTAATTAGGGTTTGAGGTTTAGGGACTTAGGGTTAAATAGGGTTGAATAGGATTTAATGTGGTGAATTAGGGTTTAGGGTTTAGGGTTTGCGTACAGCAAAGGACTTTCTTAGAGACCCCTTGACAACTCTTCCTATTGTCTCATCAAGATAGGAAATCAATAATCTTAGCTGCTGTTGAGGGTTAAAGACAGAGTTTAAGTCTTCAATGAAGGCTACATGGCGCCCCCAAAGAGCAAAGGCTTCTACAAGAAGAGAGTTAGTGCTGCTGAGCACACTCTTGCTGCTGTTCCGCCTCCAGCTGCTGCTGCTGCTGCTGCTGCTGCTGCTGCTGCTAGGGGTGCTGAGGGACGTGCCGCTGCTAGCTGGTGAAGAAGAAGGATCAGCAACAAACGAACCCATCAAAGGATTCAGCTCCAGCAGCTTTGATTGCATCAAGGAACGCCCTATATACAAACCCTAAACCCTAAACCCTAAACCCTAAACCCTAAACCCTAAACCCTCGGCAGTTTCATACACCTTCAGGGATCCAAAGCAGGGAATCATCATTCGGATTCATAAACCCTAAACCCTAAACCCTAAACCCTAAACCCCGAACCCTCAACCCCTAGCTGTAAACCCTAAACCCCGAACCCTCAACCCCTAGCTGTAAACCCTAAACCCCCAACCCTCCTAAACCCTCACCCCCCATCCCCAAACCCTAAACCCTAAACCCTAAACCCTAAACCTCTTGCCCTGCTTGCTTACAGATGAATTGAGCGAGACCTGCTGCGCCTGCATCTGGCGAATAAGTAAAAGATAAGAATGCCCCGGTTAAAGGGGATATAAAAGTATATCCTTTTAAAGCAATTCCGAGTGGAGAGGGTTCAAAAGGGCATTCAAGCTGGGGTGTATCTGCACCTCTCTCTGCACCCACTTCAATTCTATTTTGTTTTATTAACTGCTTCAAAATAGGTGACATACTCGGCGCTACAGCACTTAAGGATGTCTCCATCACCCCAAATGCCTCTTCATACTCAGCAGCAACATCCGATGCTGCTGTAGAAGGCAAAGAAAGACGGTCCCCCCAGCCAAACCGCTACAAACAAAACACACAAAAACATTCACATTGCATGCATGCATGCATGCATGCATGCATGCATGCATGCATGCATGCATAAAGTGTTCGACATTGCATGCTCGCATATATATATATATATATATATATATACTGCAGGAGAGTGCATGCATGCATACGGGAAGTAAATATAAGAAGAAGAGCAGAGAAATGCATCTACAGAGAGGTGCACGCATGGATGATGAACTAATGCATGCATGCATGCATGCATGCATGCATCTGGGGTGTATAGGCAGCTCAGAGTCTTACTAAGCCTTCTTTGCTTCTTAAGAAGATATGCTTCCTAATTCTAAGCACCCTTTTATATAAACCACAACCCGCACCCGCAACCGAAGTGGCAGCAGCGTGAGCTGCCTCAAACTCCCCGTAGAAATTTTCCTCCATTGGAACCCCCTAAACACAAACCCTAAACCCTAAACCCTAAACCCTAAACCCTAAACCGTATTGTAGCCCACCAACAACAAACGCAAAATGACTCTATAAACGCTCAGAGATGTACACAACGGCACACCACTCTTCACCAGCCTTCAAAACCCTAAACCCTAAACCCTAAACCCTAAACCCTTACGGCATATCCCATTTCTCTTTCCTCTGCCTCTCGAACTTGCATGATAAGGCGGATCCCACTGGTGACTTGTTCTCTGAACTTCTTTTGCTGCATAATGCTGAAAAAAAAAGCAAACGAGGGTTTGGGGTTTGTCTGCATCGAGCCCTAAACCCTAAACCCTAAACCCTAAACCCTAGACCCTAAACCCTTTGCAGGTGTTTATGCGTCAATAATTAGTTGTGTGCATGCACTTATTATTTTTTCTTTTGCTTGGATATTTCAGGGCGTGGTGTGTTAGCAGGGTTGCTACCTCGTGCCTCGTGCATAGGGTTTAGGGTTTAGGGTTTAGGGTTTAGGGTAGATGTCTGACGAGTCGAGAGCTAGAAGCGCTTGCTCTCTTGCTTCAGGTTCTGGATCTGTCTGTGCTATACACAGCGCCTGCTGTACGTTGAGATTATATCCTTTGCCGCCCTTCTTTTGTTTAATCTGAAACCCAAGAAGAAACCTCATAAACTTAGAGAAAGAAACAGTTGTTTGCGCCCAAGACACACGAGGAGGTAATGCTAAACGCAAGAAAGGCTTTAAAGACTCTCCCTTCTCTCCTTCTAGAGCTCGAGACAAAATATCAGGGTGAAGAGACACCGCAGCCGGAAGTACTTTAACCAGCTCCGAATACATCCTGTACATACACAAACCCTAAACCCTAAACCCTAAACCCTAAACCCTTGTCGCACGCCTTCATCCGACACCCATAATCCTAAAACACGAAATTTTACATCCTAAACCCTAAACCCTAAACCCTAAACCCGTACTTCCCAGCATCCAGTGCAGCGGATAGCCTTTAGGGTGTACAGATGTCTATGACGGGTTTAGGGTTTAGGGTTTAGGGCTAGGCGTCTCTGTTGAGGGTAAAGAGGCTCTGACGAGAGTTTAATTCTAGGGTTTAGGGTTTCAGGGTTTAGGGTCTGTACAAAGAGGAACTAGGGTTTAGCTACCGAGGGTTTAGATGGGTCCCCGTAGTTAAGTGCGGTGTAGAACGTAAGAAAAAGAGATTAGGGTTTATTCCTAGGGTTTGCAATGAGGGTTTATATGATTAGGATTATGTAAAGGGTTTACAATAAGGGTTTATGTTTAGGGTTTAGGGTAAGCGTTTACAGTCGGGGTTTACGCTTAGGGTTTAGGGTTTACGATGAGGGTTTAGGCTTAGGGTTTAGGGTTTACGATTAGGGTTTACGCCTCGCAAATGCTGCAAGGGTTTATGCACAGTGCTTACGGTTGGGATTTGAGGGTTTAGTGGAAGGTTAGTGTTACGCATTAGGGTTTAGGGTTTAGGGTTTAGGGTTTAGGGTTTACCTGTCTGCCTCTTGTTCGAGCTCTACATCGTCTTTGATGAGTTGTCTGTCAACCCTAAGCTTCTGAAACTCTGCTGCAAGTGCTGCACTTCTTAGAAGTGCCTCTGCTAATCCTATTGTTTCTTGTTCTTCTTCCTGCTGCTGCTGCTGCTGCTGCTGCTGCTGCTGCTGCTGCTGCTGCTGCAGCTGCTCCCGCAGCTCGCGGTCTTGCTGCTGCAGCACCTCTATCAACTCTTGCACCGGCTGCAGCTCAGCAGCAGCTTTCTGCTTCCAAGCATATAAATCTTCTTGAGGTTTGTTTGGGTGAGCCTCATTATAAGAAGAAAATGATGCTAATAAGGTCCCTGCACGCAAACCCTAAACCCTAAACCCTAAACCCTAAACTTTCCTTGTTTGTAGTGAACAAACAACCACATACAGCACAAGCATAGAAGAATGTCAAACTTATTCTCTCTCGAAGAGAGAGAATATCAAACCCTAAACTCTAAACCCTAAACCCCAAGCCCCAAACCCTAAACCCTAAACCCTAAACCCTAAACCCTAAACCCTTGGCAATTACCTCCAGGCATAGGAATTCCTGGGGATCCGCTCCTGCTGTCTCTGGCAGCATAGGCGAAGGAGACAGAAAGAAAAAGGAGACAGCAGGGTGCAGCTGCTGCTAGGGGCTTCATCTTCGCTGCACCTAGCTGCTGCTGCTGCTGCTGCTGTTGCTGCTGCTGTTGCTGCTGCTGCTTTTGGTGCTTTTATCGCTGCAGCTGCTCCTTCTCGAGCTATTCTGCAGCAGCAGTTGCTGCTGCAAATGGCGACGCCCCTGCTGCTGCTGCTGCTGCTGCTGCTGCTGCTGCTCCCGCACTACGCTGCTGTTTTTCAAGCTAATGATATAGGATCCAACAGTATATTATAATGAAAAGGGTTTAGGGTTTAGAAGCATTAATCTAGGGTTTAGGGTTTGCGTCCCTTAGCCTGCAACCGCAGCCGCCGCAGCCACCTACCAGATGGGGGGACAGGGAGCGACGGCTCCGGCTAGGGTTTAGGGTTTAGGGTTTAGGGTTTAGGGTTTATGCTTCAGGCCTCCATACAAAACCCACAAAAGAAAAAAAAGAGAAAGTCGTACGCTCTACGAACACCAGGGAGCCCTAAACCCTAAACCCTAAACCCTAAACCCTAAGCCCCAGGCTCGCCAGCCAGCGCAACCCATCGATCGCGTGGGCCCCCTTCTTAAATCCTCTTCGCAAAACCCTAAACCCTAAAATACTAAACCCTAAACCCTAAACCCTAAACCCTAAACCCTAAACCCTGAAATCAAAGTAAGGGAGTGCAATTAATAGAATATAAAACCAGTAGCTCTACATGCACACAGCCTGCAGCGCTTAGCTGCACGAAGATGCGCAGCAAAACCCCGAGGCCGAAACCCTAAACCCTAAACCCTAAACCCTAGCAGCAACAGACATTAAGCAGCAGCAACTGACGTGTATCTTTAGCTTTATAAACAATCTCTCTCTAATATATTAAAATATTAAACCCTATTTATTTATTATTCTTTTTTATTTAGAGAGCTGCTGATTGCTTATACCCCATCGCGGCTCCAGACTGTCTCGCTTCTCTCACAGCGCCCTAAACCCTAAACCCTAAACCCTAAACCCTAATCTCAAAGCATCTATAAAAAGGACAGGAACCTTATTGTTTCCCCTCTTCTACTCCCTGTGTCTTCCATAGCGCCCCCAATAGCCCGGTTGCGTATAGGGTTTAGGGTTTGGGGTTTAGGGTTTAGGGTTTGTTTAGGGTTTAGGGTTTAGGGTTTAGGGTTTATTTCCTCTCCTTTCTTTGTACAGCGTCATCTTCTCCCCACTGGGATTGCTTTAAGGGTTTTAATGTTTGCTAAGTGAAGCATCAGCACCCCACAGCCTCACCGCAGCTTCGAGGTTAGGGTTTAGGGTTTAGGGTTTAGAGCTTAGGGTCTGCGCCTTCGGCCCGAGGGTTTAGGGTTTAGGGTTTAGGGTTTAGGATTTAAGGTTTGGCTTGTCGATCCCATTAAACACTGTGGGGTCTACCTAAGTCTTGTGAAGAGGGTAAGCAAACCCTAAACCCTAAACCCTAAACCCTAATCTGGAGATGAGGACAGCAGCTGTTGCTACGTTCTTCTTCTTCGCAACCTTCTGCTGCTGCAGCAGCAAGCTGCTGCTAGCAGCAGCAGCAGATGATGCGGCTGCTCCGCCTGATCAAGCAGCACCAAAAGAGGGTGGATGCTGCAAGGAGAAAGCGGCGGCTGCAGCAGCAGCAGCAGCGGATACAACAACAGCAGATGCAGCAGCAGCAAATACAGCAGTAGTGGATACAGCAGCAGCAGAAACAGCAGCAACAGCTGATGCTCCTCCTGCTCCTAAAAGCGGATGTGGCTGCTGTAAGAAGAAAGCAGCAGCAGCAGCAGCAGCAGCAGCAGCCGCAGGAGAAGGAGCAGCAGCAGCAGCAGAAGCGCCGGAGACAGAAGCAGCAACAGTAGCAGCAGCGGTACCAGAGACAGCGGCAGCAGCACAACGCGAGGGTGGCTGCTGCAAGAAGAAAGCAGCAGCAGCAGCAGCAGAAGGTGCAGCAGCAGCAGCAGCAGCAACGGAGACAGACGCAGCGGCAGCAGAGACAGCAACAGCAGCACAACGCGAGGGTGGCTGCTGCAAGAAGAAAGCAGCAGCGGCAGCAGCAGCAGCAGCAGCAGCAGAAGGTGCAGCAGCCCCAGCAGCAGCAGGAGGCGGCGGTTGTTGCAAGGCAAGAGCAGCAGCAGCAGCAGCAGCAGCAGCAGGAACGCATCAACCCGCCGAGGGAAACAAAAGCTCTTGCTGCGGCGTGATGCCTATGAGCTTTCAGGCGAACACCCACACAGTTATTCTCTTCAGATCGTGGGAGACAACCAACGTAAACCCTAAACCCTAAACCCTAAACCCTTCGCAAGGTGTTGTGGCCACGGCCTGTACCGAGACATTGCCGCCAGTGTTGTTGTGGAGTCGTTAGGGTTTAGGGTTTAGGGTTTAGGGTTTGGGTCTGATGCAAGAGACCATCCGTAAAAGGGTTTCTTTTTGTTTAGGGTTTAGGGTTTAGGGTTTAGGGTTTGGGGTGTCTTTTGAGGGTTTGCGCTTGCAGGAGGTTTTCTTCTGGTTGTCCGCTGCTGTGTGGTTCTTCCTCGGCTGTTTCTCAGTTTATTTAAAAGTGCTGCGGCAGCAAGTAGAGGGCTGGGCTTCAGCAGCAGCAGCAGCAGCAGCAGCAGCAGCAGCAGCAGCAGCAGCAGCAGAGGGGAAGTCAGCCAAGCGCAGCAGCTCAGCAGCACCTTGGGGGCGGCACCTGCTTTATTCAGGTGTATGTACAGCTATTTATGCTTACGATTATTTATTAATGTTGGTTGTCATGAGTTTTAATTTATATCTTTTTTTTGCTGTTTGCTTCGGCCTAGGGTTTGGAGTGTTTTGCTTCGGGCATAAACTCAGCAGCAGCAGCAGCAGCAGCAGCAGCAGCGTAGATTCCCCCGAAGGATTCAAAGCAGACCCTGCATGCTGCGGGGTGTAATAGAATCGCGAACCCAGCAGCAACTCCTGCAGCAGCAGCAGCAGCAGCTAAATATGAAGCAGCAGCAGCAGCAGCAGCAGCAGCAGCAGTAGCAGTAGCAAAAGTCTCAGCAGCAGCAGCAGCAGCTGGATATCATTGTTTTTGTCTTTGTATTTAGTTAGAGGAGAGACCCTAGCATAGTGAAGGGTTGTTTAGGGTTTAGGGTTTAGGGTTTAGGGTTTTTTTTTAAGGGTTTAGGGTGTATGCGCAGCCTATGCAGCAGCAGCCTTTCGCCGTACTTTCTCCTCTATTATTATTAATATAAATATATTATTAATAATAGTAATAATAATATTATTAATATTACAAGTATAATATTAATAATAATAATATTATTATTATTAATGTTATAATAGAAAACATATTATTATTACTATTAGCGCTTTGCTCTATTTTTTGTCGGAAGCTGTCTATTAGATATACAAAATATAAATATAAATATATATATATATATATATATTTATATATTTATATAATATATTTATGTATGCATATATATATATATTATATGTATTATATATATACTTATAATATAGGCAAATGAATAATAAATAAATAAACGCTTATTTATTTATTTATAATATATATATATATATATATGTATATATATATGTATATATATATATATATATATGTATATATATATATATAAATTATAAACAAATCTTTACTAATTTTTGTATTGGGGTTGTGCTGCCGATACACCGCAGCACACCGGAGAGGAGACAGTTGAGGTGTATAGTCACCTCCTCTCTATAAAGGAGACAGTTGAGGTGTATAGGCACCTCCTTTCTTGCTATAGACTTTTCATTCAATCCCTGTCGCCTCATTAAACAACAATGCGACTTGCTGCTGCTGCTGTTGCTGCTATTGCTGCTGCTGCGGCTGCTGTTGTTGCTGCTGCTGCTTCTGTTTGTCTTGCTGCTGCTCAACGTGGTAGGAGAGGAGAATTAGCAGCAGCAGCAGCAGCAGCAGCAATACCAGTTCGATATAAGCTGAAGGCCTCTGCCTGCCTACTAATAACAGATAATAATAATAAATAATGATATTTAATAATAATATTTAATAATAATATTTAATAATAGTAATAGTTATACTAATTATTACAACCACCTCTCTTGTTGCTGCTAGTGCTGCTGCTACTGCTGCTGCTACTGCTGCTGCTGCTGCTGCTGCTGCTGCTGCTGTTTGGCTTGAGTATTTGTATTTAAATATGAAATTCTATAAATCAACTCGAGGAAAAAATCATATGCTGCTCTTGCAGCTAGGGGCATGGTGGAGCAGCAGCAGCAGCAGCAGGAGTTGCTGCTGCTCTGCTGCTGTTGCTGCTGCTTTTGCTGCTAACAAAAGGCATTACTCTGCTGCTGTTGTAGGAGAAGAAGGAACTCCTTGGCTACTGCTGCAGCAGCTGCTGCTGCTGCTGCTGCTCTTTGCATGACCTAGCGATGCAGACAGGGCAATTTGCTGCTGCTGCTGCTGCTGCTGCTGCAGCAGCAACAGCTGGGCAGGGTGCAGTACACTGACTGCCCCCTCGGGCGGCTTCCCCATGTTCCCTGCTGCTGCTGCAGGTGCTGCTGCTGCTGCTGTAGGTGCTGCTGTTGCTGTTGCTGCAGGTGCTGCTGCTGCTGCTGCCGGCGCTGCTACTGCTGCTGCAGGTGCTGCTGCTGCTGCCGGAACCTCCAGTCTCGTTTTCTTGAGGGGCTGTTGCTCTGGCTGCAGCAGCTTTTGCTGCTGCGCTTGCTGCTGAAGGCGGAGTTGCAGCAGCTGCTGCTGAAGCAAATACTGCTGTTGCTGCTGAGATGGTTCGCTTAGCTTACGCAGCTGCAGCAACTGATGCAGCTGCTCTGGCGAGAGCTGCTGCTGCTGCTGCTGCAGCGAGAGCGCCTGGCGCTGCAGCAGCAACTGCTGCTGCTGCCTCTGCTGCAGCAACTGCTGCTGCTGCTGCTGCTGCCGCTGCAGCAGCAGCAGCCTCTGATGAAGGGCTAGAGTGGCTGCGTCCACAGGTGCCGACCCTCCTGCAGCAGCAGCAGCAGCCGCTGCTGCTGCTGTTAGGGGAGTTGCTGCTGCAGCAGGCGGCAGTGGCGCTGCTGCTGTTCCATCTACAGAAGCAGCAGCAGCAGCAGCAAGAGGAGACGCCAGGTGTGCTGCAACGGGAGACTTCAACAGCGAAGCAGCAGCCGGAGAAGCAGCTGCAGCAGCAGCAGCAGCAGCAGCGGGCTTTGCTGCTGATTGTCTCTTCCTGCTGCATCTGTCTCTCAAAGCCTGAGCTTGCTGCATTGTTTGTGGGGGCAGCAGCTGCTCTAGCTGCTGCAGCTGCTGCGGCAGCTGCTTTCTGCTGCCTTTGCTGCAGATGCATTCGCGCTGCAGCGCCACAGACTGCAGCAGCAGCTGCTGCACTTGTTGCTGAAGCAACTCAGGCTCCATTGCTGCTGCTGCTGCTGCTTCGATTTGCTGCTTCAGGAACAGCGCTAGCAGCAATGCAGCGTGAGCCCCCACCTGCTGTACGTACACCGGCCAACTCACCTGCTGCAGCAGCAGATCCTGCTGCTGCTGCTGCTGCTGCTGCTGCTGCTCCTGCCAACGTGGCTGCAGCCATTCTAATCTCCAGGCTCCCCCTTTAAATGCATCTGCTGCTGTGCTGCGGCTGAACCGGAGATGAGGCCTAAAAAGGTTTTGCAGTGTCCAGCTGCTGCTGCTGCTGCTGCCATTGCTGCTGCTGCTGCTGCTGCTGCTCGTAGGCAGCGCGTCGCTGCTGCCGCTCTGCGGGTACTGACACGCCCCACTTGCTGCTGCTGCTGCTGTTGCTGCTGGATCGCATGGGACATCCACGCGCTGTACTGCAGCAAGAAGCTCTTCTAGACTAGGAAGCTGCTGCTGCTGCTGCCTTCCGGCTCCAGCCCCCCGCTGCTGTTTAATTCCTGTCGCTCCTGCTGCTCCTGCTGCTGCTGTTGCTGCTGCTGCTGTTGCTGCTGTTGTTGCTGCTGCTGGTGATGACGATGGACTTGCCCTAGACTCTGCAGGAGATGCAGCCGTTGCGTTGGAAGTAGCAGCAGCAGCAGCAGCAATTATCTCTTGGCTGCTGCTGCTGCTGCTGCTGCTGCTGCTGCCCGCAGTTCCAGCGGTGCCAGGACCAGCCGCTGTTGGTGCAGCTGCAGTTGCTGCTGCTGCTGTTGCTGCAGCAGCAAACTCATCGTGGCAGCGAATAGCAGCAGCCCGGGCTCCTTGCCAGCCTAAGGCCTGCACACAAAATGTTAGGTTGCTGCCGGCCGGTGCTGCTGCTGCTGCAGCAGCAGCAGCAGCAGCAGCAGCAGCAGAGTGGAACGCTTTAAAGGCATCTACAACCCACAAACCCTTGTCAGCAGCAAAAGAAAGCCCCGGCCTGCTGCAGCAGCAACTCAAATACTCCTGCAGAGCGCTATGCATATCCGATGTTGCTGTTGTTGCTGTTGCTGCTGTTTCTGCTGTTGCTGCTGCTGCGCCAATTGCTTCCGCCTGAGGCGCTGCTGCTGGAGAGTCTTGAGCTGCTCCGACATCTGCTGCTGCTGCTGCTGCTCCTTCTGGAGCCCGCCCAGCCTGCTGCTGCTGTTCGCTCTTCGCGTGCTGCAGCAGCAGCTGCTGCTGCGGCTGGCCGTGATGGTGAAGCTCCTGCTGCTGCAGTTGCTGCTGCCGCTGCTGCTGCTGGTCTTGCTGCTGCTGCAGATTCGGTTTCTGCTCCTGATGATGCTGCTGCTGCTGTTCAAGAGCTGCATCTGTAGCAACTGTTGCTGTTGTTGTTGCTGCTGCTGCTGCTGCTGCCTTGCAGAGGATCAGCTGCAGCCATATCTCAGCCATCTGCTGCGCTGCTGCTGCCGCTGCACCCCAACCAACAGCAGCAGCAGTTGCTGCTGCAACAGGAAAGGTTCTGCTGCGGGTGAAGCCTTCAGACACCCAGCTTGCAACCCACTTGCCTCTGTTGCTGCTGCTGCTGCTGCTTTTGCTGCCGCTGCTGCCGGCTTCATAGAAGACACAACCGCGAACGCCAGCAGCGGCAGCAGCAGCAGCAGTTGCTGCTGCTGCTGCACTTGAGGGGTTTAAAGACTCCAGCGGCACTGAAGGCCCGCAGAACCCCGAAACAGGAGCAGCAGCAGCAGCACCAGCATCTGCTGCCCCTGCTGCTGCAGCAGCAGCAAAGCTGCCACCTGCTGCTGCTGCTGCAACTTCAGCCACAAAGCTCTGGGGTAGGTGCTGCAGATATGGGGGGATCACCAGGGGAGGTTTTGCTGCTGCTGCTGCTGCTGCTGCTGCTGCTGCTGCAGTGGATTCTTTGAGTCTGCTTCTGGGCGTTCCTTCTGGAGAAAGGGATTCAAGTTGCTGCTGCTGCTGCTGCTGCTGCTGCTGGAGCTGCTGCTGCTCTTCTTCTGCAGCTTGAGCAGCAGCAGCAGCAGCGAGAGCAGCAGCAGCAGCAGCAGGAGGCAGCTTCTTGACTTCAACGTGGCCGCTGCAGCCGCATGCAATCTGCAGCTCCAGCACTCGCGATTGAAATGCTGCAGCAGCTTTTCTTTTAGCAACAGCAAAGGGGTACCGCCCCACAACAAATGCTGCTGCTGCTGCTGCTGCACCAACCCGCCACCAGCATATCCAGCGGACTCCCTCAGCATCAAATCGCAAGCCGCAGCAGCAACTGCTGCTGCTGCTGCTGCTGCTGCTGTCAGCGTCGTCGGGCTCCGAGGTGAAGAGCACTTCGGTGTCTGGGGTTGCTGCTGCTGCAGCTGCTGCTGCTGCTGTGGAGCTGTTGCTGCTGTTGTTGTTGTTGCTGCTGCTGCTGCTGTCTTCTGCTGCTTCCGCGTCCTTCAGCTGCTGCCGAAACCGCAACGCCAACTCGCGGGCCATTGTGGGGCCGTACCTGCGCAAACCCCAAACCCTAAACCCTAAACCCTAAACCCTAAACCCTAAACCCTTAGCCCTAAACCCTAGCTCTAGACGCGTCAGCAACACTGCAGCTGCTGCCGCCTCCGGCAGCTGCTGCGGATAGTTATGAAGGGGTCCACTATAAGCAGCCTTTGCTGGGGGTTTAGGGTTTAGGGTTTAGGGTTTAGGGTTTAGGGTTTACTTGGAAGCAGCAAAACTTCTGCTGTATTTACGACCCCCACAAGACCAGCGACAAATCCAAGAGGCATTTGCACCGGCACCGCGCGAATAAACCCCTTCTGGAAGCTCTCCTTCTGCTGCTGCTGCTGCTGCTGCTGTTGCTGCTGCTGCTGCTGTTGGTGTTTGTGTTGCTGCAGGCGATGCCGCAGCAGCAGCAGCTGGAGATGCTGCAGCAGGAGCTGCTGCTCCCAAGCCAGAAACAGAAACAGCGTCGCCAGAGACAGGAGACTCGCCGCCTTGCTGCTGCTGCAGCTGCTGCTGCTGTTGCTGCAGCTGCTGCTGCAGCTGTTGCTGCAGCTGCTGCTGCTCCGCACCCTCCCCCGCAACCTTTGCATTCCAGTACTTCTCCGCCAGCAGCCGCGCCTGATTGCAAACAAACCCTAAACCCTAAACCCTAAACCCTAAACCCTAAAGCAGGGGGTTGATGGTTAAACGTCTATAATGTCTATAGGGTTTTTAAGGGTTTAATTACTAGGGCCTAGGACGCTGTATTACTGCTGAGGGTTTACGCTTAGGGTGAGGGACTAAGGCTAGGGTTTAGGGTTTCGGGATAGAATTAGGGTTTAGGGTTTATGGTTAAGGTTGAAGGTGTAGGGCTAGGGTTTAGGGTTTAGGGTTTAAGTTGCAAGGGTACAGGGTTTAGATCTAGAGTTTAGAATTTAGGGTTAGGGTTTAGGTTAAGGGTTTCTAAGGGTTTGGGTTTAAGGTGTACGGGCAGGGCTTAGGGTTTAGGGCTAGGGTTTAGGGTTTAGGGTTTACCTGTTCATCTCCGAAGTCCCTTACTCGGAAGTATTTATATTTATGTTTGTTGCAGCTGTCTATCCAGCAGCAGCACCAAGCACCGCTGCTGCTGCTGTATCGAACCCCCAATGCTGCTCTCCTTGCTGCTGCTGTGTTGCTGCTGCCCTTGCTGCTGCTGCTGCTGCTGCTGCTGCTGATGCAATTCGCTGTCTCCCTTTCACTGCTGCTGGGAGACACAGCAGCCGAAGCAACAGCAGAACCAGCAGCAGCAGCTGCTGCTGCTGCTGCTGCTCCCCCTGCAGCAGAAGGGGCTGCTGGCGCATGCAGCGCAGCAGCAGCTGCTGCTCCTGCAACCGGAGTTGTCCAGCCTGCTGCTGCTGCTGCTGCAGGTGCTGTTGCTGGTGCTGCTGGTGTTGCTGTTGGTGCTGTTGATGCAGTTGCTGCTGCTGGTAGTGTTGCTGCTGGTGTTGCTGCTGGTGTTGCTGCTGGTTCTGCTGCTGCAGATGCGGCTGCTGGTGTTGCTGCTGCAGGTGCTGCTTCTGCAGGTGTTGCTGCTGCTGGTGCTGCTGCAGGTGCTGTTGCTGCAGGAGCTGCTGCTGCAGGTGTTGCTGCTTCAGGCGTTGCTGCTTCAAGTATTGTTGCTTCAGGTGTTGCTGCTGCACGTGCTGCTGCTGCAGGCGTTGCTGCTGCAGGCGTTGCTGCTGCAGGCGTTGCTGCTGCTGCTGCAGGTGATGCTGCTGCAGCTGCAGGTGATGCTGCTGCTGCTGCTGCTGATGCTGCTTCTGCTGCTGCTGATGCTGCTTCTGGGGCTGCAGCAAGCCCTCCGCATGCAACAGATTGTTGCATGACTGCAGCAGCAACTGCTGCTGCTGCTGTTGCTGCTGCAGCAGCCGAGGAAGAGCAGCCATGCGTGTTACGTTGCGGCAAGCAGCTGTAGCAGCTGCTGCTGCTGCTGCAGCGGTTCGGCTGCTGCTGCTGCTGCTGCAGTGGTGTTGCGGCTGCTACAGACTGCAGCAAAATGAGCTCCTGTGAAGATACCCGTTGGGTATTGCTGCTGCAGTTGCTGCTGCAGTTGCTGCTGCAGTTACTGCTGCTGTTGCTCCTGCTGCAGTTGCTGCTGCTGCGGCTAGTTGCTTCTCTGTACGTTACTACTGGAGAAGAAAGGATATATCTGGCTAGTCCTAGAGCTGCTGCTGCTGCTAATGGAGTTGCTGCTGCTGCTGCTGCTGCTGCTTCGTTGCTGCTGCTGCTGCCGCTGCTGCGGCTTTGGGTGCCGCTTGCTGCAGCAGCAAAATGTAATAAATTTATATCGCGAACAGCAGCAAAAACAGTTTGAGGGGTTTCAATGGGGAGATAATTGCTGCTGCTGCTGCTGCTGCAAAACACTTGCTGCTGTTGCTGCTGCTGCTGCTGCTGCTGCAGAAGCTGTCGCCGGTGCGTGCAGCTGCGACACGAAAAAAGCCTGCTGCTGCTGCTGCTGCTGCATTCTTCGAGTTGTGGCTGCTGCTGCAGCGCTGCTGCAGCTTCCAGCAGCAAACGAGTTAGAGCAGCATAATAATATTTAAAATACTGTTTTGCTGCTGCTTCGTGGAGTTTGCTGCATTATACTCGCTGCTTTTGTCTTGCTGCTGCTGCTGCTGCTGTCGGCGGCGACTGCTGCAGCAGCAGCAAAACGGCAGCCGCGCAGCAGCAGCGGCAGCAGCAGTTCGTGCTATAGCAGCCCCATGCCGCGCTGCTGCTGCTGCTGCTGCCGCAGCAAAGAAGAAGGCTTGCCTTACACACCCTTTTTTAATATTTTGTTATGTAATAAAAGACTGTGGTGCTGCTGCGAGCGGACCTTAAACAGAAGTTCTGCTGCTGCTGCTGTTGCTGCAGCTGCTGCAGCTGCTGCTGCTGCTGCTAAAGGTGCCCACCCCCCTCCAGCAGCAATTTTATTCAGCACCCGCAGCAACAGCAGCAATTCATGCAGTGTACGTACACTGCAACTCATTGGAACTGAAGATCCCCTCATTTAGGCTGCAAGAGCAGCTGCTGCAGCAGCAGCAGCAGCTGCTGCTACTGCAGCAGCAGCTGCAGTAGCAACTGCTTGTTGTCTGACTCCTCGCAATTGACGCCTTTGAGAATGGGGCCTTCTTCTCCTTCAACAGAAGGGCCTAGCCCCGCTGCAGCAGCAGCTATGGGCAGCAGCAGCAACAGCAGCAACAGCAGCAGCAGCAGCAGCAGCAGCAACAGCATACCGCCTCTGCTGCATGCGCTGGTGGGGTGGTCGACACTGTGGCAGTTCCCTCCGCCTCCTTCAGTGCCTCGGGCTCTCGCTTTATCTACAACGAGAGAATTAGCTGCTGTGTTGGCGCTGCTGCAGTCTGCTCCTGCTCCTGCTGCTGCTTCTGCTGCTGCTGCTGCTGCTGCTGCAGCACTCCCACGCCTCCTCCAACTCGCTGAAGGAGGGCCCTTCAAAAAAGAAATCGAGCACTTCCTCGCAGCCCTACAGATAAGGATACAGGCAAGCGTCCAGGGTCTAGGGTTTAGGGTTTAGGGTTTCCGGCTTAGCTTCGGTGCCTGGGGCTCTCACGGTTTACACCTTATTGCTGCCAGCCTCTTACGGCTCGTATTTGTGGGTTTGTGATTTAGGGTTTAGGGTCTAGGGTTTAGGGTTTAGGGTTTAGGGTTTAGGGTTTGGGGTTTCGATTCAGGCGAGTTTTGACAAGGCTGTAGGGGAGTTGTGTATGGAGACGCTGCATGCGCTGCCTGCAGCAACAGCAGCAGCAGCAACCGCAGCAGCTGATGCAACACCAGCAGCAGCAGCACCAGCAGCAGCTGATGCAACAGCAGCAGCACCAGCAGCAGAATGCGAAGGCCCCCAACTTGGACAGCAGTAGGCGTCAACCCTAAACCCTAAACCCTCAGGGGATCTGTTCGTTGGCATCTAGGCGTTAGTGTTTAGGGTTTAGGGTTTGTGAGCAAGCAGCCATCTGTGGAGGAGTTTGAAGGGAGGGTTTAGGGTTTAGGGTTTAGGGTTTAGGGTTTAGGGTTTATGCACAGTCTTCCCTCAGTCGAAGCATTTGAAGAGAGGGTTTACAGCTTAGCGTTTAGGGTTTAGGATTTCAGGCTCAGGGTTTAGTGTTTACCGTTTAGACTCTAGGGTTTAAGATTCAGGGCTCAGGGTTTAGGGTTTAGGGTTTAGGGTTTAGGGTTTAGGGTTTAGGGTTTGTGCTCAGGCTGCCCTCAGTCGAGGCATTTGAAGAGAGGCTGTCGTTGGAGCGGCGATTAAAAAATTTGAAAACGGCGGCGGAGAATTCGCGCAAAAATACCCAAAGCCACAAACCCCTCGTTCAGAGAGTAAACCCTAAACCCTAAACCCTAGCCAAACCCTAAACCCTAAACCCTAGCCAAACCCTAAACCCTAAACCCTAGCCAAACCCTAAACACTAGCCAAACCCTAAACCCGTACCAAACCGTATGTCCGAGGTCCTCACCAAACTCTAATCGCAAAAACCCTCACGAAACCCTAAACTGTAAACCCTACCCAAACCCTAAACCCTCACTAAACCCTAAACCCTTAGCGACAAACCCTCATCTGTAGTTAAACCGTAAACCCCTTCTCTTTGTCGCGGGTAAAGGGCTGTGGATCAGCGCGCCGGCGCTCGCCTCTAGAGCTCGGCTAGGGTTTAGGGTTTAGGGTTTAGGGTTTAGGTGTTGGTGTTTGGGTGTCTGTGCAGCTGAAAGCAGAGCTGGAATGCTTAGACTCCGCACTCAAGCAAGTCTTGGAGAGAGAAGAGTGAGTTAGGGTTTAGGGTTTAGGGTTTAGGGTTTAGGGTTTAGGGTTTCTGCGTTGGCACTCCCAAACCCTCCCAAAGCAGCTACTCGACGTGCACTGAGGGTTTAGGGCTTAGGGTTTAGGGTTTAGGGTTTATGTTACGTTCGGCGCAGGGCTTTGAAGCAAGGCATGCCTTTTGCGGCCTGCAGCTCTTAAAACCCTATGGTTTAGTGTTTAGGGTTTAGGGTTTAGGGTTTAGATGCGGCCGAGCTTCTCGTCGACAATGCATGCAGCAACGCTGCAGCGCCGCATTTCATGCAGCTGCTGCTGCAGCAGCGGCTGCTGCTGCTGCTGCTGCAGCAGCATAAAACCCTCGGGTGGGGGTTTATAGGAGACTCCGTATGTTGAGGCGATTATTTCTTGGGTCCTGAACGCCTCAGCAAACCCTAAACCCTAAACCCTTTCTTTTTGTTTAGAACCCTTAAGGTCTAGGATTTAGGGTTTAGGGTTTAGGGTTTAGGGTTTAGAACTTCGGATTGGTGGTGTCTTGCCTGTCGTTGAAACTCAAGTGATCTTGCACATGTCTTGGCTGCTGCTGGTGTTGCTGTTGCTGCTGCTGCTGTTGCTGCTGCTGCTGCTGCTGCTGCTGCTGTTTGTCTTTAGTGTTTCGTTTGAGGGGGAGGCCCTTCATCTGTCTCCTGCAGCGGTTTAGTTGTAGCACAGATAAACACAAACCCTAAACCGTAAACCCTAATTGTCTCTCGTATTTATAACCCCTACAGAGAGGTTGGTTAAGGGTTTAAGAGTTTACAAGTGCAGCTCAAGAACCCTAAACCCTCCTAGGGTTTATGGTTTAGGGTTTACTGTTTAAGATTAGGGTTTAGGGTTTAGGGTTTAGTTCTTCACGCTGTTTGTGTGTTGGCGATCCACTAGCGTTGACGGTATCGAACCGGCACTATGCGACTCCCTAGGGTTTAGGGTTTAGGGTTTAGGGTTTAGGGTTTAGGGTTTGCTGACCGGCACTCTGCATCAGTAAAAAGTCGTTCGTGTTGTTCTAGGGTTTGAATTGCATTAAACGGAGCCCTCAGAGAATTGTAGTACGTCAAAAGACTGTAAACAAAACAAGAAAATAAATAAATAAATTAATTAATTAATTAATTAATTAATTAATTAATTAAATGTAAATATTAAAATAATAAAAGAAATGCATAAACAAAACAAATAAACAAAACAAATAAAACAACGAGTACTGTATAAGGCTGCAAACAAAGCGAGAAAATAAATAAAATAAATAAATAAAATAAATAAATAAATAAATAAATAAAATAAATAAATAAAACAAATTAAAAAAATAAATAAACAGATTAACAGAGGAGCAAATGGACAAACAAACAAACAAATAAATAAATAAGCAGACGAATAAAAAAGTAAATAAATAAATAAACGAAGAAACAAATAAAATAAAATAAAATAAAATAAAATAAAATAAATAAATAAGCAGTTGGCGACAAACAAACAAAAAAGAAAATAAAAAGAAAAGGAGACAGCAAAACACGCAGCAGTAATTATGAGGGTTTACACAATACGAACAGCGGAGACTAGAAATAAATTTATAATAATATCTGCTAAACCCTAAACCCTAAACCCTAAGACGAAGATATACAAAAGAAAAAATAATGCACAAACCCCTAAAGACCCGTAGTAAAGTGCTTACAGACAAAATATTCATTGTCTCCCTTTTATCTCTTCTAGGGTTTAGGGTTTAGGGTTTAGGGTTTAGGGTTTAGGCTGTTTATTGCTGCTGTTTGGAGAGAGAAGGAGGTAATGCAGATAATTTGCTTGAAAGAAAGAAAGTCTCTAGCAACACCCGTACGTACACCGCAGCTAAACCCTAAACCCTAAACCCTAAACCCTTACGATCCGAGGGTTTCTGAGACTTTCCACTTCTTGGTGATATCCGTTTCGAACGACTGCCACTCCTCCAACCTATGATCGCAAACCCTAAACCCTAGCAAACCCTAAACCCTAGAGAGCACTAAACCGTAGCAAACCCTAAATCTGCATGGTTGAGCAAGGGTTTAGGGTCTACGGTTTAGGGTTTAGGGTTTAGCCTGCCTTCTGAGAGCGTTTCGCTGGAGTATCTTTGCGAAGGGGGCCTGAGGCAAAGCATAAACCCTAAAACCCCTAAACCCTAAACCCTAAACCCTAAACCCTAGCTGGTTCTCCAAACGGTGCGTGCATAGACCCTCTTCTGCAGCTCATCCCCCAAACCCTAAACCCTAAACCCTAAACCCTAAACCCTCAACAGCGGCGGTTTACCTCGCTAAAGTACTTAGTGCCAGCAAAAACAAAAGCCCCCTTTGGGGCTGCATGCGCGATCGTCAGTTCGTCTTTATTTATTTTTCTTCTGTCTCTCATTTGTGCGCTGTCTAAACTCAGCTGAGCCTGTTCTATCCTACGAGGCAGCCCGTTCAGCTGTACGTACACCGCAGCAGCAGCAGCAGCAGCAGCGGCAGCAGCAGCAGCAGCAGCAGCAGCAGCAAGGAAGGAGGGAAGGATATCTCTAGGGTGCTGCAGAGCCAGTGGAAGCCCGTCAAATCGCGTTTTTGATTGCATGCGTTTTGGGGCTTTGCATGCATTTCTCATTTGCTGCCAGATAAACCCTAAACCCTAAACCCTAATGCCTCAGGAACTGCATCCCCCTGCTTCCGGTGTGCATGCAGCTATTAAACCCTAAACAGTTTCAATCATAAAACTACTGAAGACCATGCAGCGCTGCAAAACCCTAAATCTCCTCACCCAACCCCTAAACCCTAAACCCTAAACCCTAAACCCTAAACCCTAATTACGGAGGGAGTTGTGGGCTGAAAGATGTGAGAATGCTCTGCAGCCAAAATACTCCCAAGAAAGGAGACAGCGCGAAGTGCAGGAGGAGACGCCTCGGAGATCCATTTAGGAATCAAAGCTTAACACGCAAACCACAAACCCTAAACCCTAAACCCTAAACCCTAAACCCTAGAGCATGTTAGGGGCTGCTGAGATGCGGATTACTTCGGAAGGCTGTCGAAGGAGAGAAATAAACACAGAGATGGCATTCTATGCTTGCAAGGAGACAGTAGAAAGCGTATAGGCCTGCTATTAATTAACCCGTTTAGGGCTTAGGGTTTAGGGTTTAGGGTTTAGAGCTGCAGGCATACCCAGGTACTGAGGCCTTAGCAACTGTTGAAGAGTCTCCTTGCATTTTGTGTGCAGCAAATCTAAGCTGTTGATCTCCATCATTCAAACCCTCTATATTTCTCTGCAAGGGTTTAGGGTTTAGGGTTTAGGGTTTGGGGTTTAGGGTTCGAACCTCACCAATAAACTTTAACAATATATATTTTTCAGTTTAAATCTATTTGTATATTATAATATGTTTTTCTTTGCTGTATTATTTTTTGCTTATTTTAACTTAAGTTTTAATGTTCTATAGAAGGCAGAAGGAGGGACTTACTACGCCGCAGCAAGCAAACGGCTTTAAAAAAAGAAGTATAACAAAAACTCTAAAATAAATAAATTTATTAAAGAGAATTAATAATTTAATTAATTAGAGCAGCAAAACAAAACCCGCGAGAGCAGCAGCTGCGCATGCAGCTGCGGTGTACGTACAGCTGAAGCCTTCCTTCTTTCTTTTTTCTGTGGAATAAACAAGTAAATTAAATAGTTTTAATTATTTAATATTATATTTCATTCATTATTACCGATAATGCATGCAAAAAGAAACAGAACAAGCCCCAAATATGCTGCTGGCTTGGCTCCCCTGCGTAGCTGCATAGAAAGCGGTTTTATATATTTTGATTTTGATAATACTTTTTTATATTTTTTTGCTTTTCTTTTCTTTGTTCTTCTTCTTTTTACACACACTAACCTTCATACAGAAGAAGATGCAATTAAACCCCATCCCCCTACGCAAGACATCCACCAGGCACGAGCACAGCTAGCTACAGCTAGCTATAGCTAGCTAGCGTTATGTATCGCTAGCCGCATCAAGCCACAGCTAGCCACACCCAGCCGTGGCTAGCCACAGCTAGCTGCACCTAGCTGCGGCTAGCCAAAGCTGTTCAAAGAGAAATATGTAGCTGGCTCCTAGTAATGCAGGTAGACCCATCTAGGTAGCTAGCTACCCAGCTAGCTAGCTAGCTAGCTGGCTAGTTGTCTGGCTAGCTGGGGCTAGATAGGCTACAATAAGACGATGTTCTGTGGAGCTACAGAAAGAAATTTACTTCGCTTTGTGCTGCATGCAGCCCCACTCAGAGAGACAAAGCCAAAGAAACAGCAGAGAGAGACAGACAGACAAACACAAACAAAACAACAGAAAGAGACGACAAGAATATATATATATATATATACATATATATGTATATATGTATATATACAATAGCAAAGAGAAAGAAGAAAATAAAACGACAAAAATAAAAGACAGAGAAGCAAAACGAAGAGAGAGAGAGAGAGAGAGAGAGAGAGA